TTGTTGTTGTTGTTGTTGTTGTTGTTGTTGTTGTTGTTGTTGTTGTTGTTGTTGTTGTTGTCGTTGTCGTTGTCGTTGTCGTTGTCGTTGTCGTTGTCGTTGTCGTTGTCGTTGTCGTTGTCGTTAATTTTGTATCTTGTGAGTTGTGACCCCACACTAGAGGACAGATTTTCAAGTGGTGTAATGTGTGATTATTATTCTAGTTTTGACAGAAGAACAACGTGATAACCTGAATGAACTAGTAGACCCAACTCAAAAGTTTTTTGAGGTAATGTAAATATAGTTGTATATATCACGTAATGTAAATATTTAACAATTATTCGCCGAAGGCGAGGTGATTATAAATATAGCTGTATATATCACGTAATGTAAATATAGCTGTATATATCACGTACGAGTCATTCTGAGATTCGTGTCATTCTTACGATAAAGGTGTAAAATACAATTTGGCTCATAGTGCTGATTTTTTATTAGGAATTTAATGATCCTGCAAAGAATGATACGTTAGAAAAAGTCGATGATGAAACAATGGCAGGACTTAAAGAAATGGGTGCATTTGGATTACAGGTTGGCCATTGCAATACACTTGGGAAGACGTATATTTCATCATGTATACAATATTACGCTACCCTGCATGCCTATATCTAAAAATTGCCTCCTGTTTATTCACGTTTATACATCGAAATTTACAACCTCGTTCCCAGGCTCTTTGCTCTTGGGAAGCAAAGACCCTGGTCGGGGCTTATGACGTCACACATACAAAATTGATAGCCGAAGGGGGGGATGGAAAAGTCTCATATTACATGTTTCCACTTCCGCACTTCGATTGCAAGGAGTGGCCGTTCTGTACAATCATCTAATTCATCTTCAAGAATCATATATACCTCAAACTACTTGCTGAATTGGTTTCTGTTTGCTTTGAAATTATACAAACATGCTAAAATGTAGATTCTTATAGCAACAGAAAATTCAGGAAATCAAGCAACGAGAACGTATGGCTGTACGCTTTGAAATATTTTTATTTTCTCGGACTTCGCCGGTTCGGGCGTAGTTTCATTTCACGCGTCGTACGTTTCTGTTCTGGCTCTGATATTTATAATATGCTTATAATATGCCAATGAATTGTTCTGATATGGACACGGTATAAAATTTTTTAAACAGATGTCTCAAAAGCGACTGTTTATAGGTCGTAGGATTAGCGCCTTGCCGGTCTTAAACGTGACACATTTGGACACAAGCCAAATACACATTGAATGTCCATTTTATTGATTCTAAAACTGTTTATAGACATATTGCTCTAGCTTTTTTAAAAAGGTTATCATCGTTTATGTTAAACACCAGGAAGACAAAATATAACGTACAAAATTGTTTGAAATCGACAGTGGGTGTCAGTGCACAGCTGACATACGACAATTCACAACTGCATGAATTTCCTTTTTTGTCGATCTGCACGAGTACCTGTTTGTTGAAGCCAAAATATTGCACTGCATATCCTATAAATTCTATCGCCATTTACCCTCCCCCCTTAAATGCAAAGGAATGACAGCAGAAAAGGTTTAGCAAAGTATTTTTTATTACATCTGGTATAAAGTGTCCTACGTTTTATCAGGACTACATAATTCATAAACTGTATATGCACACGAAGTCTCGCTTATTAATGAGTTTTACTGTAACAAACCTTTTAAAGTTTCCATGGATAGATAGGTTGTTTGCCTCCAGTATTGTTTGGTAAAACAGACTAAACTTCTAAAATATTGGTTACGGAATACGCCGATAAAGATTAAAGTTGATTTAAATATTGATAACTCACAGCGGCATTAATCCATTATACAAGTCTCAAGAAGCTGGATTCTTCTTCAATAAAGCCCTCAATGGACAATGCCAATGTCAATGAAAGGTCTAATATTATACATGTTGCAAATTACTGTATACACAAAATATGAAATAATTTATATAAAGTACAATACCAATGTCTGGTGCACATGCATATCGTCGTAGGTATTCAAGTTGTACCGCACGTGTTACTTAAGTTTCCACACGGGTTCGGTGTATTACTTGTCTTTATTTCGTACGTTTTACTCGGTATTTTACAACGCTTTTCGATAACTCTCAAAACTAAATCAATACAACATGTGTTTTTTATCCGGGCATTTTCCCGTTACGTCATACCATCAAGTTCTGGTATCTAATTTCCGGGTGCTAATTCCGGTGGGGTACACTCTCCCCCTCTAAATGAAATCGCTATTTCAACAAATTAATACAGGATAATTCTTTTGCTCATGCAAGTAGCTACTTCGTGTTCGGGATCTTAACTGATTCCTAGAGTGGGGTGATCAGTCCCATCTCGCAAAATCTCACTACCGTCCTTCAATAACCATCCTAATTAATATTCAGCAAAGAGTCTTACTTCGCCAAGTAACACCGTTTTATAGTTGTTTTTTTTTCATAACGTTCTAACTCAATAACTAAGGTATAAGGTTAATATGACTGGATTGGGTAGGGAAAAGGTGGGTTTTGCCAGTTCAGAGGCATCACAGGGGGACACGTATACGGGTGACAAGGTATAGGAAGCCACTTTAGAGGTACTGATCCAAAGGGTTGTACTTCGCTTGGAGTAGGTACTACGGGTGGCATAGGTGGTAGGTATGGTGTCATAGGTGGTGGTAGGTATGGTGGTATAGGTGGTAGGTATGGTGGTATAGGTGGTAGGTATGGTGGCATAGGTGGTACGTGTGGTGACATGGGGTAAAATTGATTGGCGACTTCGCTGCAGATGGGTCTAAGGTAAGCTGGGTTCCCTGGGTCGAGGTAAGTTAATCTCTGGGGCGGTTGCCTGTTTCGTTGCGAACGCACATCACGTACTTCTTCTTGTTCATCGTCTGTAGAGTTTTCTATCGCCTGTTCATCTCCAGTTATTTCATGGTTTTCATCATCAGCCCAAGACTCGTTTGTGGCGTCGCCACCATCTGCTTCATCGACGGCAATGTCTGGGTTCGGTTCACCAACGAAATCTCCGTCTGCGGCTGCAGCATTATTGATTTGGTCAGTGTTCCAAGTAATGCGAATTTCATCTTCACTTTCATCTACGCTCTCTTCTTCGTCTGTTTCTTCGTTGCCGGATTTTGAGATGGGACTTCTGGGAGGAACTCTTTTAATAACTGTCCGCTCGATTTCTGGCCAATTTTCAATCGGAAGAAAATCACATGGTAATAGGAGATTACGGTGAAGTGTGCGGTTTCGACCATGACCTGACTCTGGCTTC